ACCTCTACGTCATACATGGCTTCTGTCGATGCAGAGCTCCCTATTAATTTGCCAGTCACGAGGGCAATCCCCAGAGCCTACCACTCACAGAACTTCTTCTTTCGTATGGCATTGTGAAAAGCAACAGTTTTTTTTTTATAGATTGCTCACATTACTTATTTCGTATGGCATTGTGAAAAGCAACAGTTTTTATCTTTAATGATCACCTTAAATGAATGCAAAGGTTCCTCATCCAGTTCAATTATGTGGTTGACGCAGTGTGGATTTCAGCGATACCGCCAGGATGTGCATGGATGGAGCATTCATCGGTGATGTGCTTGATGGTTTGGATATCTCCACGGTCAGTTGGGCGATTCTTTGAGCAGTACTGATTTTCTGTTCTTGCGTTCTTGCTTATATCTGAATTTTTCCACCTAAGGCTTTTTCTTCTCATAAAGGGGCAGCTGTTTTCCTTTTAGATAGATAGATCGTTTATTGTCATTGTCACCAGTACAACGAAATTTAAAATGCTCACCAGTCAGGGCCTCATTCATAAATTTAAATTAAATAAAACAAGATAATAAAAATAAAATTAAATGAAAGATAATCAATTTATACTATATATATAAAACAGCCCAAGTATACCCACATACCCACATAAGGTTACATTTTGTCATTGCACATCTCTATTTCACAGTCAATTGTAAACGCTATTACCTAATAATTAATTAGCATTATTGAGTGTGGTGATCGCTGTAGGATAAAAGCTCTGTTTGAATCTGTTTGTCCTTGTTTTGACTGATCTGAATCGTCTGCCTGATGGCAACAGCTCAAACAGTGAGTGTCCAGGGTGAGAAGAGTCCTTTATAATGTTCTGTGCTTTTTTGATGCAACGTGACAGTTCACGTTGCATCACTGGAAGAACTACACAGTTGTAGTTCTTCCAGTGTGGGGAGATGGCAGCCGGCGATCTTTTGGGCTGTGTTGATGACCCTCTGGAGCACTTTCCTCTGAGCCACTGTGCAGCTGGTGTACCATACACAGATGCAGTATGTAAGAATGCTCTCGATGGAGGCTCGGTAGAAGGACACCAGCAGTTTCTGTGTGATGTTATTATTCCTGAGAATTCTCAGGAAGTAAAGTCTCTGCTGGGCCTTTTTCAGAAGCTCAGTGCTGTTGGCGCTCCAGGTCAGGCCCTCCCCAATGTGGACTCCCAGGAAGCAGAAGTCTGCCACCCTCTCCACACAGTCCCCGCTGATGATTAGTGGTGGAGTGTCCGTTTTCTTTCTCCTGTAGTCTATTATGAGCTCCTTGGTCTTTGCGGTGTTAAGGAGCAGGTTGTTGCCCCTGCAGTATGCTGTCAGCCGCTCCACCTCGTCCCTGTAGGCAGACTCATCCCCCCCAGAGATGAGCCCCACAACTGTGGTGTCATCAGCAAACTTCACAATGGTGTTGCTATGGTGGACGGCGGCACAGTCATGTGTGTAGAGGGAGTAGAGCAGGGGGCTCAGTACACAGCCCTGGGGGGAGCCGGTACTGAGGCTCAGGGCTGTGGATGTATGACGGCCCACTCTGACCCTCTGTCTGCGGCCCGAGAGGAAACTATATATCCACATGCAGGTGGAATGTGGAATCCCCAGGTCGCCCAGTTTTTCCACCAGTTTGTGTGGGAGGATGGTGTTGAACGCGGAACTGTAATCCACGAAGAGCATCCGCACATAGCTCCCCTGCTGCTCCAGGTGTGACAGTGCAGCATGTAGTGCTGTGGCCACGGCGTCCTCCGTGGATCGGTTCGCTCTGTAGGCAAACTGGTGGGGGTCAAGGTTTCGGGGCAAGCTTCCTATGATGTGACTCCGGACCAGTTTTTCAAAGCACTTCATCACCACTGGCGTGAGTGCTACTGGCCGGTAGTCGTTGTAGCTGCAAATGTGGGTTTTTTTGGGCAGCGGGACTATGGTGGAGGACTTTAGGCAGGTTGGTACGGTGGACTGTTCCAGAGACAGGTTGAAAATCCTTGTGAAGACTCCAGCCAGCTCGTCAGCACAGTCCCTCAGCACACGTCCCGGGACGCCATCAGGTCCCGCAGCCTTCCTCGGGTCGACGGCCCGCAGCGTGCGCCTCACCTCATGCTCCTCCACTGTGAGGTTTAAGCTGCTGTGGACCGTGAGGTTTGGTGATGCTGTCCCTTGTGGTGTCACCTCAAAGCGGGCGAAGAAGAGGTTCAACTCCTCTGCCAGAGCGTTGTCACCATCAGCAGCTCCGCGGTTGGCCCTGTAGTTGGTGAGGTGCTGGACTCCCTGCCACACCTGCCTGCTGTCGTGACTGTCCAGGCGTTCCTCAATCCTCCTCCTGTAGTCTGCTTTGGCCTTGCAGATGCCTCTCTTCAGGTTAGCTCGGGCTGTACTGTAGGGAGCTTTGTCTCCGGAGTTGAAGGCGATATTCCTCTCCTTCAGCAGTTGCTGGACCTCCCGGGTCATCCAGGGCTTCTGGTTGGGGTAAACCCGAACGCGTTTGTCCACAGTGACAGTGTCTATGCAGTTTTTAATGTAGCACAATACACTATATGTGAACACCTCCAGGTCCTGATGTTCGAAGACCCCCCAGTCGGTCCTATCAAAGCAGTCCTGCAGCTGCTGGGTGGCACCCTCAGGCCAGATGGCGACAGTTTTTGTGATGGTAGGAGCCGTTTTCTTGATGGGGGCGTATGCAGGGATCAAAAGCAGGGACAAATGGTCAGACTGGCCCACGTGCGGTAGTGGTCTAGCCCTGTAGCCTAGTTTGATGTTGGTGTAGACCTTGTCCAGAATCTTAGTTCCCCTAGTAGCACACTTAACATGCTGGTGGAATTTAGGGAGTGCTGCTTTTAAGTCTGCATGGTTGAAATCCCCTGCTATAATCAGCACAGCGTCAGGATACTTGCTCTGCTGAATGCTAATGCTGCCATGTAAAAGTCCAATAGCTGAGTTAGCATTAGCATCCGGTGGGATGTAAACAGCAGTTATCATGACCACAGTAAACTCTCTTGGGAGGTAAATCGGCCTGCATTTAACAGTCACATACTCCAGATCTGGGGAGCAGTGGCTGTCTACAGTCACAGTGTTAGTACACCAGCTCTTATTCACGTACACACAGAGCCCCCCTCCTCTGCTCTTACCAGAGTCTACTGTTCTGTCCTGGCGCTGTGCTGTGTAGCCTGCAAGCTCAATAGCAGAGTCCGGGATGGATGAATGAAGCCAAGTTTCTGTGAAAAGCAGAATGCAGCTGTCCTTCACTACGTTGCTCGCTGTAGTCTGTAGCCTCAATTCATCCATTTTGTTCGCGATGGATCTGGCGTTCGTGAGAAATAGGCTGGGTAGCGGTGGTTTGAGTGGCTGCCTCCGTAGCCTGGCTAGCGCACCGGCCCTGCAGCCTCGCCTCCGTCTTCTCTCTCTGCGCCGCCTTCGCCTCCTCCCCGCCGGGATGATAATCCACGGAGAGCCGGGCCTCCTCGCTAACTCCACTGGAATCTTGTGAAGACGGTGAAACTCGCTTGTAACACTCCGATCGTAACATAGTCCGATCTTAAGGAGATCGTGCCGGCTAAAGATGTTACTCGCCCGACAAAATGAACACAAAACAAGACATAACGCGAACATAAACAACCATACAAGGCACCGACCGGGTAGACACTGAGCTGCTGCAACTGTGTGTTGTCCAGATGTCTTTACTACCGCCATGTTTCTGTTCACATTCTGGGCAGCGTTCCCCACACTCCCACCACGGGCTGGAAGTGTTACATTTTTCGCATCAGACTTGCAGTCTCTCTCAAAAAGGGGCACTGACTTTGAAGTCGTGACCTATTGTGCACGGGTGTGCTTGCTGTCGCCATGTTTTCCGTCCTCTCATCACGGGTTAGTAAAACATATTTTATAACTCTTATAGCTTGGTACTGTACCACTTTCCGCAGTTGACTCCAATCGACTCAAAAGTACGTTTTGAGCAGCGTTCACAGCACTCACGTCGTGGTTTGGAATTATTCCGTGGTATTTGTTATATTAGGCGGAGACGCCCCCCTGCATACATAATTTACTGCTACCATGTGCTCTTAGCTACTGGAAGACGAAGACAGTTGGTGAGGCTCTGATCCCGTGGAATTATCTTGATCGTGTATGATTGGCATATTTCGCATTGTATCTCTTCTGAATGACCCTAGATCTAATACTTTCATAATTATTATTTGGTTCCTGTTTAACCAAGATATGCTACACCGAAGTTGTTACTGAGGATATTCCAAGGGTTTTATTAACCTTTGTTCCGTCTATATCGCCAGGGATCTGTGCTTCTTATTCTCAAGTTATATTTTGATATCCTGAGGTTAAAGATGTAGCTAAGCTTCGAACTTTACTGTTGTATTTAAAAACCCCAGTCAGCTCATGATGATTAACTGTTCTTGAGTGGATTTCGCTGTCCAAGGGAGGTTCGTGACCCCTGCTGTTTCTGTCTTATGTTTGCTTTATTGTGGGTTGTTTCCTTTATGGCAGCCTTCTCAAGTATACTGGGGATTGACGTTTGTATTATTACATTTTATGACTTCCCAAGCAGGCTTGTGAGTAATTATCCTCCAGCTGTCTTTTGTGTGGCAAGGCAGGAGGCCGGGGGGGGGGAGGGCAACTCACCCTTTCCGTGCCCCAAGCGCTACATCCCGATTAAAATTATTACCAAAAAAGGCAGAATTACTTAATATAAATTTTTGGAAAAGGCATATGCACAACATGCTCTTCGAGTGTTTGTGATGAAATATGATACAAAACTCCGAGCTGCTGAGGCGATGAAGCAAGCATCATTATAATGCTAATATTATAACATAGTGAATGCTTGGGAGCGTATTGGCTCTGGCTCCTGGTTAGAGATCTACCCAACCCACAGGTCCGCAATTACTGGCTGCCCTTACTCTGCAGGTTGAACCTAAGAATTGAGTGTTTAACTTCACATTATTTCATTAAAGGCCTGTGACAAAGGTCAATCTACAGGGGCTTCATTGTCTCAAGCTTACACATCTACCGTGTCTCCATTTGACTTTGTTTTGTTTAAGAAGTCCACCCACACCTCCACTTCCACAAATTCCTGGGAGGTTCCTCGCTCTGCCTCACAGTCAGAATTCTCCTCCTGCTTCACGTTGCCTCCATCGATGTGAAGGTCCGATTTTGGAGTTGAATCTTCATCTTCACATTTCACCTTCACTTCTTCGTGCTTCATTGTCACCTCTTCAAATTTCACCTTGATACATTTCATAGTGTCCAAGCTGGAATGTACTTCTGGTTCTTTTTTCAGGAGAAATGGACTAATTGCAGCACTTTTACTTTCACAAGTCGATTTCAGACTACACTCCTTGAGGATCTTCTGATGCCTGCGTGTTCTCTGGTGTATATGAAGATCTGATGACTGGACAAATGCTTTCCCGCACGGAGTGCACCTGAAGGGTTTCTCTCCTGTGTGTGTTCTCTGGTGTCTTTTAAGATGTGATGACTGTGAAAATTCCTTCTCACACACACTGCACTTGAAGGGGTTATCTCCTGTGTGTATTCTCTGGTGTCTTTTAAAATAAAATGAACTTGAAAATGCCTTCCCACACACACTGCACTTGTTTGGTTTCTCTGTGTGCGTTCCCTGGTGTATTTTAAGATTTGATAACTGTGAAAATTCCTTCTCACACACACTGCACTTGAAGGGGTTATCTCCTGCGTGAATTCTCTGGTGTATTTTAAAATAAAATGAACTTGAAAATGCCTTCCCACACACACTGCACTTGTTTGGTTTCTCTCCTGTGTGCGTTCTGTGGTGTGTTTTAAAATTTGATGAATGTGAAAATGCCTTCTCACACAGACTGCACTTGAAGGGTTTCTCTCCTGTGTGTGTTCTCTGGTGGATCTGAAGATCTGCTGCCCATGCAAATGCCTTCTCACAGACAGTGCATTTGAAAGGTTTCTCTCCTGTGTGTGTTCTCTGGTGTTTTTTAAGAGTCGGTGAATCTGAAAATTCCTTCCCACACACACTACACCTGAAGGGTTTTTCTCCTGTGTGTTTTCTCTGGTGGATCTGGAGACCTGCTGCCCATGCAAATGCCTTCTCACACACAGTGCATTTGAAAGGTTTTCCTCTTGTGTGTGTTCTCTGGTGTTTTTTAAGAGTCGATGAATCTGAAAATTCCTTCCCACACACACTACACCTGAAGGGTTTCTCTTCTGTGTGAGTTTTCTGGTGCTGTGTCAACTTTCCAGTACGATCCGTGCTGTTTGGATACTGGTCACAATGTTTCCTTTTTGTACCGAGCTGCGCTGAGTGCCTTCGCTCCATCAGACCAATTCTGCAGAGGAAGCGTCAGAAGAAGCTTTTAAGGCACATTCTTTAAACAAAGGGAGGGAGCAGCAATGGGCTCTCCTTTATCTCCTGCTATAGCAAATTTGTACATGGAAAACTATGAAACCAGAGCACTTGCCTCGAGCACATTAAAACCATCCTTTTGGTTTAGATATGTGGATGACACTTTGGTTGTCTGGCCACATGGTAAAAATACACTTAACGATTTTCTAAATCATCTCAATGCACAAAACCCGGCCATTCAGTTCACCATGGAAATGGAGGTGAATAACACACTCCCGTTCCTGGATATTTTACTTGGGCATGGCCCAAACGGTAAAATAACACACAGCGTTTACAGAAAGCCAACGCACACTGATGCCTATCTGAATGCAGATTCGCATCATCACCCAGCTCAGAAATCCTCTCTTATCAAGACGCTCATACATCGGGCTAAAACAGTGTCAGATGGTGAAAGTCTAGTGAGAGAGATTAAACATGTTAAAGAAGCACTAAGACAGAATGGCTACAATAATGCTCAAATTAACAGAGCACTAAAAGCCAAATCACGATCGCAAAGCAACACTGCTGAAAGCGATCAGATTATTAAAACAATAAAAATACCATTTATCTCAGGAGTGACTGATAAATTAGCCCGTGTTTTGCAAAAGCAAAACATTACAGTAAGATTTGGTACAGTACACAAAATTCAACAACTAGTAACGTGCACTAAAGACGAATTACCTAAATTATCAACAGAAGGTGTATATCGGATTAATTGTGTATGTGGCAGATTCTATATTGGACAGACAGGGCGTAACGTTAGTGTAAGACTAAAAGAACACCAGAGAAATATTAAACTATCACAAACACAACTGTCGGCAGTAGCAGAACATGCATGCCAACAGGGACACTCAATTGATTTTGACAACGTGGAAGTGTTGTGTAAAACTAGTTACTACTGGCAAAGACTAATTAGAGAATCGATTGAAATTGAGAGAAACAGAAATAACTTTATTCGCTCAGACAGCTATAGGCTTAGTGCGGCCTGGAAGCGTATTATTAAATAAGATACATTACAATTACTTATAAGGGAAACAACCACTAACTGATTACTAATGTAGCATAATCACAATAAAACACATTCCAAATGATTACTAATCTACAACTCGCATCGTAACAATAGCCTGATTACTAATCTAGTATATAATTACAATCACTCCCCCCTTGAATCTTTGCACCTGATGAGTTAATGAGTTAATGATGACGTCACCCTGCTGCTGCTCTATATAAGAACGGGAGACACAGGAGAGCCTCACCATTCTGGCGAATTGCCCGATGATGCTGATTGCAATTACCAGCGAAACGTCGTACTCAAATTGTAAATGTTGTTGCTTCAACACACCGGTGGGCTAAAGCAGTGAACTATTTGTCTTTGTCAACGTGACACATTTTTACTGATTGGCCGTGTCGGGTGGTGGAGGGTTACGGCACATTTATAAATAAACGCGATCTAAACCCAAAAATCGTTGATTATGAATAACATTGGTCGCGAAAGCCTACGTGTTAAACTAAACTTGACACTGTCACACACTGGGATGGTAAACAGGTGGTGTGTCCAGAACCATGCGTGGCCGCCTTCATCTACTCAGTATGAATGCTTCCTCACTTCACCATGTAATTAATTAAAAATCAATCAACATAGCAGAGGCCCACAATAAGTTCAGCTTTCACTTATCAATCGTGTTTGCTGTCGGCGAAAATCAAACTCTAATTATTGAGTTCATAATGCAGAGTTGAGCAGGTGCATTGTTGTATGACATTAAATTCCCAGGCAGGTGATTTTTTTTCATGGAACGTTTGCAAGGCCACATTTCATGATGGAATTATCAAGCCACAGAATCCTTGTAAAAAAGGGTTTCAGTTTTGTTGCCAGAAAAAAGGGAAAAAACCCTATTATTATATTTTGGTACTGGCAAAGGAGGTCCAATGATGTTAGATGCTTACCCCGAGCCCTCATTACTTTGATAGTGCATTGTCTTTGAGCTGTATGCCTTTTGGCGTCATCTGGTCTAGCACCAATTGAGACAAGGCTCTAAAGAAAGCTGTCTCTGGTGTGGACCAATCAGTTTCACGGATAATGCATATATTATCAGAGTGTGTTTTTGTTTGCATTTTGACTGCAAGTATTGTGGTTAATGCAGACATGAATCCTTGTAAAAAAGGTTTCAGTTTTGTTGCCAGAAAAAAGGGGGAAAAACCTATTATTATATTTTGGTACTGGCAAAGGAGGTCCAATGATGTAAGATGTAACATGGTTGACCAGCAGAGAACAATCCTTTAACTATAACCAGGCATCAATTAGCGTATCATTGTAACCGTAACAGATGCTATGGTTTTATATGACCATTGGGAGCTTCTCAAACTACATAATTATTGAAGCTGCTATGTGTAGTGACATCGTTGGATGTCACCGTGTGAAGCCGGCCTGGGAGAGGCACGGCGCGTGATGTATTGACATCGCAGACACCACTGAAGGTGGATGCAGTACCGGTCCTAACGGGGCTCGGGGAGCACTGACTGAGAGCAATGGATGGCATCATGCTCTGCGTGCAGTGCCAGCACCTACAGGATAGAGTGCAAGGGTGCCAGCCACGGAACAGGGTTGCAAGGGGCCATGGCACTCTGGGTGACCCCGGAGGACACGTGACCGGAGATGACGATTGCTTGTGTTGCAATGGAAACGTCGTGATATTTTATTATTTTTAATTCACTTTGTTTTCATTTTTATTATTTTATTGTTATTATTTTTTCTATCCACGTGACTTTACCAAAAGACCCAAAGAATATGAATTCCTGCAGCCACGATAGCTTTAAGTCAAGCTTCAACTGTTGTCAACATTTATGCCAAAATTGAAGCCTCATTCGATTAAACCCACCAGATGGCAAAACATCCAACATTGTCTATCCTGAAGCTCTCCATGGGCAACGAATTTAAAAGCTGCCATTATGAAACAAACAAGCCCTGCGATTGTATAACACAACCAAGAAACCGTGACAATATACACACAATTTCGATTTAAAGCTTTCGTGACTGCAGGGATTCATCTTCTTGGTTCTTTCGGTAAAGTCACGTAGAAGGGAAGTAATACAATTTAATAATTATTTTATTACTTCCCTTCTACGTGACTTTACCGAAAGAACCAAGAATATACACACATTCACAGACTTCATTGGCAGAATTCAATAATTCCAATAAAGCCAGCATTGCAAGACATTACTCTTAATATTTGATTACGGAGACCTGTGCGAAGCCGGGTAACTTAGTTATTACCGAATAAATACTATACTTCCGATGATAATGTCTGTGCATGAGTGGGGAGCGATAGTACAACGGTTAGCGTGTTGCGCTATAAACCCAGCGACCTAATTCATATTCCCACAGAGCCAAGGCACAACATTTGGCTGTCGCCTGATGAAGCTGGTTGTGATTACTGGCAAACGTCGTACTCAGATTGTAAATGTTGTGGCTTGGCTCTCCAACACACAACCGGTGTAGTGCTGCACTAGTGACGAATTGGCCACGTGCTGTTTATGTGACCAACCCTTAATAGTTGGCTGTGTCGGGTGGTGGCGGGTTTAACGACACATTTGCATAGTTAAGATGATCTACTCCAAACAAACCTGTATTAAGGATGTATATTTGGAATTTGCGTGTCTCTCTCCCCGTGGTCGCGTGGATTTTCCTCCGGATCCTCAAGGTTCTTCCTTCCACATTAAGAGACAACATCACCACGCGTTTAGAGTATTTGACCGACAGACATTTCCACACGTTAAGCCACTGTATTGTGGGCAGGTTCCTTCTGAAAAAGAGCGGGATAGTTCAAGTGGGCTATGCCTGGTGAAGTTAACAAAAACTGTATTAATATTTAAAAGAAAAAAGTTTCAAAAGTAGTGAGCCAGATGAAGACAAATTAAACTTAAGCAGAGAATTAAAGCAAATGCAATCAGGCGAGGGCAGGAGGCAAGGCCCCGCATGGCAAGGCCCCGCGTTGTAATGTTCCAACGTGGACATCGATTCCATACTCGCTGCTACTCAATTGATATCCCTACGAGAGAGAGAAGGTGCGACGCTCTACCTGGGTAAACAACAACAACAACCACCACGATGTCAACTTCTCACCTCGGATCTCAGTGAGAGCGCGCGTGGTGCAGCAGCTTCCTGGTGTCTCATGACGTCATGCTGACTGCAGGACATGACATGACGTCACTAGTGGGCCACACCTCCCCCTCGCGTCTGACGCCGATGACGCAATGCAGTGGTGACGTCAGAGAGCGGGGTTAGAGTTTAAGTTCATTTAAACTTGACTCAAAGCTGTCGTGACTGCCGGAATACATTCTATAGGTCTTTCGGTAAAGCTACGGCCTCACGGCTCTCCGATCTTATATTTACAGTGGTACCTCGGTATCCGTCATTAATTCGTTCCAGAAGTTAGGACTTATACCGAAAATGACGGAAACCAAACGATTTATCCCATAAGGAATAAAGGGAAAATAAATAATCCGTTCCAGAGTATAAGAAATGATATTTTATATGGCATAGTATACATTAATGGGGTTGTATAAAATAATTTTGACACTACTTATTACTAAAATGCATACATAAATAAAAAATGCATAAATAAATTAAAATAAATTGTTATAAAAATAAAATGTAACATCACTTTATCTTGCTGAGAGGAGTTGATAGCCTACGAGGATGGTGGTGAGGAAAAGGAGGAGATGTTATTTATTGGATGGAGAGTCCCCTTCCATTAAAACTTCAGGAAGCTGACATTCTGGGGTTTTTTTCTCATTCTCTTTTCTGTCTTTTTTCTTGACTTGGACCTGGTTGAGGCTCACCAAGTTTGAGTTTTACTAAAAACCTGTCCATTGAAGTTTGTTTTTGCCTTCTTCTAAGAATGTGCCTGAAGTCATTCCAGACAATACTGTTATGAGCGGCGCTTTGTTTCAGTCGTGAACGGGGAAAACGCGGGTACGCGGTGACTCATCCCGACCCATACAAGTTCTAGCAAGCGCGTCGTATCCCAAGCAAGATGTCGTATCCCAAGACATTTTTTTCTCGTCAAAACACAACGTATACCAAATTCGACGTATTCAAAAGCGGTCGTATACCGAGGAATGACTGTCCATGCAAATACCATCTCAAGCCCTGCCTACTTACCCTTAGGGGCCGTCCATAAATGACGTTACGCGAATTTGGACGATTTTTTTATCCCCCCCCCCCCCCCTTGTCACATGGCGTCACAAAAAGTCAAACCCCCCTCAAATATGACGTCACAAAGCTCTGCACCCCCCCAAAACCATATTTCCATTTTTAAAATAAATCATGCTTCAAATCGCTTTAAACTATTGTCATTGTAGTGCGTATTTAATGTGGGGCTGCACTCTGATTTTGTAGGAGTGTTGTTTTCACAAGTAGTGTTGTAATAACAATTCAATATTTATTTAAAATTGCGCATTTTGATGTGACGTCACATTTCTCACCCCCCCCTCGTCACACATTGTCACAAATGTCTGACCCCTCCCCCTAGATGCGTGATGTCATTTATGGACGGCCCCTTGGGCTGCACCCATCTCAGGCCTATATAACGTCCTGCTTTAGAAGCTCTCTCGCTGTATTTTTTCACCTGAAGACGATCGCTTGTGTTGCGATCGAAACATCGTGATATTTTTTTTTATATGCGTGGCTTTATCGAAAGACCCATAGAATACCATGTGTATACACATACAATAGTGTTCACGTGGTTGTTGAGCTCACGCACCCAAGGGGTCTCTGTTCAAGAGAGAGAGCAATGGAAAAGAAATATAAATAAACTCAAAATAAACTCATTCCACGGTAAATCTTTTTGCTGATGACACGATACTGATTACTGCTGGCCGCTCTCCGGATGATGTAATTGCTAAGCTCCAGGGTGATTTCAACAAACTACAACATTAGCTAGTTGCTCTTAAACTAGTCCTGAATACCTCCAAAACCAAGGCGCTATGCTTTTCACCAGGACTAAAGCAGGAAGTTATTTTCCCCCAATTACATTCCTTATTTTTTTTTATCAAATAGAGCAAGTCAAGATCTATAAGTAGCTTGAGGTCATCCTTGATTCAAAACTGAATTTTGAAGATCATATTGGTAAAAAGACCAAAAAAATTGGCTTTATGTATCGACACAAGCACTGCTTCTCCCCTCTGTTCCGTTTGGAATTGATAAAAGCTACCATACTGCCTCTACTTGATTACTGTGACATCGTATATAAATCAGCCCCACAGTACTGTACTGAAGAAGCTTGACCCAATCTATCACTCGGCCTTAAGATTTGCATTGAACTGCCCATATAGAACCCACCACTGTGATCTCGACATTGGGTCAAACTTAACATCTCTTAATGTTCGACGTCTTGTGCATCAGATCTTATTTATTCACAACGTACTTACAAAAAAAATCGACAGACTACCTGCTGGATCTCCTCTCTGTTTCAAAGAACAAATTTGACCTAAGGTCTTCACTCATTTATCAGCTTCTCATTCCTTATTGCCGTACAAATACTGGAGGAAGGGCCTTTGCTATTGATGCCCCCAGGGTCTGCAATGCTATTGCCAATAAACTGCAACTTGAATCACTACCAATGAGATCTTCACTCAAAACTGCTCTAGAGAAGTTGTACACCACATGCTGCCACTGCTATTCAGTGGCCTAAAATCAAATGTTTCGCTTCAGATGACCGCTGCAAAGTATGATCTTGTGTTTTTATTTAGTGTGCTGATCTTTAAAGGTGCATTGAAAAATGTTGATAGTCATACTGATGCTCCTGCTGTTGTGGAGTGACTCATGCAGCCAGCTATGGCTATAGGGTTTGGTGGTACATGTTCTTTATGTCGTTTATTGTGAAATTTCGGTCACAATTCCTATGATCACTGTTACATTGCTTTTATGGCTTTATTTTGGTGATTTCGAAAAGTGTTTTGGTTTGGCCATGTTTGATTGTTGTAGTACGGAGTTAAACTGATGGCTTTAATCTAAGTTGTCTTGTGGTTGTTGTTGTTTGACTTGCATCCCACTGGGATTTTTGCACACAGCGTTGGTGTAATGTGCTTTTTCTGGAAGATTTTTCAGTTTTTTCCTGGATTTTTCTGTTTGTGCATAGTCACTTTAAGATGTTTTCTTGTTCATGTTTATTTTTGCGGTTGCACCCGATTCAAGAGCCGAATGGCTCACAGGGCTATACGTACCAAATAAATGAAAGTGACACTGAAAACTGAAACCCCTGCTCTCTGACGTCACAACTCCACATTACCTCGTTCGTTGATCGACGCCTGAGGGAGGTATACCTCGCTAGTGACGTCATGTCACCAAGGTATTCACCCCCTCTCCCAACCCCCTCCTCCACCGCGCTTTTGAGCGTGACGTCACGTCTGGTTCGTCACTGTCGATTTCCGTTCCAGTAAAAATCCTTATTTGGGAACAGCTACGCCCAGTCACTGGCGGTTCATGAACATTATTTATTCATAAATTCTAGATTTGAAGCTTTCGTGACTGCAAGGATTCATATTCTTAGGTTTTTTTCGGTAAAGTCACGTAGGTAAAAAATTGAAATTAAAATTAATAAAAGATAAATTAAAAAATCATGACGTTTCGGAAACAACACAAGCTTCCGTCTTCAGGTGGAACCGTCACAGCCACGACAGCTGTATCAAGTAAATTAGAGATTACAAGAGCTACCACTCATCAGTATATATAATGGTTGAGGGGGGAAGGGCCCGGGAAGGAACACTTTTTTTATTAATATGGTAAGGTGAGGCTTAAGACTAAGAATAGACTGCAGAGCACCTTGGTCTCGGAAAAGACAATTTCATGAGAGCCCACAGAGTTGTAGCAATGATCGGCAACGGCCGAAGAATCAGTTCTGCCATCAGATCTGAAACACGGCAGAACTGATTCTTCGGCCGTTGCCGATCATTGCTACAATTCTGTGGGCTCTCATGAAATTGTCTTTTCCGAGACCAAGGTGCTCTGCAAACCTCCTGGCTACCATCAAAGGTTTGTACACGAAGCCATACAAATATACAAACACAGACATAATTTCAACCGTGATGATGGTTACAAACCGAGTAATTTTTCGATTTAAAGCTTTCGTGACTGCAGGGATTCATCTTCTTGGTTCTTTCGGTAAAGTCACGTAGAAGGAAAGTAATAAAATAATAAAAATAAAACATAATAAAATAAAATAATTCTCACGACGTTTCGGCTACAACGCAAGCAGCCGTCCTCAGGTGAAGAATGAGACACCACCAAGCTAGGAGCTTATATATATACGCTGCGTTGGAGGTGGAACAGCGCCTTAACAAAAAGAATGTGCATATGAAGAGGAATTTAGCATATTCATGGAAAATGCGTAGGAGGTGGGCGGGGGGGTTTCAAAGTCATATTATGCCCATGCATTATTCAGGATTAGCAGCACCAAGGGGGGTGCAGGGATTAGCAGTAACAAAGGAGAGAAATGTTAATGATATGTAGCTGCAGTTACTCAACAACCACGTAGAAAACTAAAGTATAAACTACATAAAAAACTAAAGTATAAACTGCATAGCACCATCAGTATACTTACTATACTCTACAATAAACTGAGTTACTAACAGCAAGTAATACATTACAATTCTACGTCGTAAAAATTATATAATATGCTTCCATCTAAACTTTATTCTCTTACATCACACGAGCATATACCGTACTATATACTGCCATAGATGAACCCAACTTTAAATTATGTACTGTATTGCTGTAAACCATACATTTTAATATAACACTATGTATTATTCTACCCACCCTAATGTGTATCGAAATGATTTATTACGTCCTTCCAATGATTGCTAAGCCAGAATCCATCTTCTCGGTTAAAAGTGTCTCTGTGTTTGTATATGTGGATCGCCTCATGAACGAATCTCTCATGATAGCCAGATGGCTTGCAGAGAACCTCTGTCTTGGAGAAGTCAATATCATGTGAGCCCACTGAGTTGTAACAGTGATCTGCCACGGCTGAGGTGTTTGTCCTACCGTGTTTCAGGTCAGCTTTATGTTCACGGATGCGGTCCGAGACATGTCGTTTGGTTTCCCCAATGTAACTGCTACCACAGAGGCAACTTAGTTTGTAGACGCCAGGGTACTGTATGTCTGGA